AAATACGTGAGCCGTTCACAGCACGTATTTGTAAAATCTAAGTGACTCGTACAACATGGAATTCTTATAAAACGGAATTATCAACAGTGTTATAGGGGGTCGACTGTATTTAATAATATCTGAAAGAAATGTAATACATTTAAATATGACAGTAATTCTCATCTAAAGCCATAAATTTATTGTCAAATCTTCACTAAATCCAATTACACCTGTCTAAAATGGAACGGTTGATTCCGGTTTATACAGGTTTTACTGTATTATTCATTCATTACGTTAAAATAATCTAAATATTTTAATATTTTTTAATGTATTAAATAACGCGAAGGACGTCTTTTGTCTGTCATTCTAACGTCAAACTTGTTTTCCTTTAGGTAGACATAATTCATTAAAGGTTGAAAGGTGGAATAACACCACAAAATGATGACCTTCCCTAGGACTTCGAAACGTTACTTTGACTTGGGAGTTGTTTCTTGTTCGGTAGGTGGATTGTTTTTTAGCATTGGAGTCATACTAGTTGTCATTGGATCATCGCCACAAGAACCAGAAGCTTTGTGGATCGCTGGAATTGTTCTTCTATTATTTGGAGGAATGTTGTTTTTTTTGGGAATCGGTTCGATTGGTTTGTATTTGGCTATGGAAGACAAAAGGCGGAAGACCGAAACTCGTAATGCAGATCGGCAATATGCAGCTAGTTTGAAAGGCTCCAGTGAGTTAATTATAGCGGAAAAACCTTAGAAAAATGTACTTTCAAGCATGGTTAAACGCTTATGGCTTATAAAGCTATCTATACAATAATAAGAATAGCATGCCAGAAGTTCGCTCGAATATATAAACTTCTGGTTAAATCGATGTAACCATTAAGATAAATGCATTACTTAAAATGAAATTGCACCTGTTATTGACCTTAAAATTTAATTCCGATAACGTTGCAGACATTTATGGATATATTTAATTGTTTATAATAATTTTTTAAATTTACTGTTTTATTTTATTTTATTTTTTTAAATAAATAATAGTATACGAATATATAATTGTTGTGTAAAATTTACATATGTTTTCTTATATATGTGCTTATAATATTAGTTTAATCGTTATTACATATTGAAGTATTACCAATGTAACTGTATTGCTGTTAATTAAATTTTACTATAATAATGTTAATTTTCGAATTTATATTTAAATGGTTTATGAAATTTTAAATTATTCAATAAATTAATACTGATAAATGACACTTATCTCACTAAAAAGACTGTTTAAAAACTAGATTCTACTACTTGAACAATGGTTCTAAACCGGTCTGCCATGAAAGAGGTGCCACAAAATTTTTTGTGTACTTTTTTAAACATTATTTGTACATTTTCTATGTAGAAAAATGCAGTTTTTTTTTTATAAGTTATAAGGACTTTTTGATACCACGCAGTCTCTCGTCAGTATGCCATCAAAAATTGTGCACCACTAACTGAAAAATATTGAAAATTACTCAGTTAATTCACTATTATTTTTTACTCTTTCTGCCTACGGGCACTAAAAAAGCATTTTTCAGGCCCATCGTTGATTCGGGCAGGCCCACAATTAAGTTGGGTGGCGAGGAAAAAGGGCTCTCATCACACGACTTAATTTTTAAATATATTCTTGTTTTTAGAATTTTAAATTTTCATTTTAAATGAGAATATTCACTTGTATGTGTACAGTAAAAATATATATAATTTTTGTTTTTTCAATTTTTAAAGTATGTATTCGTATGAGGGGAAGCATATCAAATTGATACTGATATGAAACAGTGTGAGACAGTTAAATAAAAATTAAAGCGGAAGAATCAACTTCCGTCTCAATCTCTAGTTATTTCCATTTTAACTTTTTAATAATTTTTATTTTTTTTCGTGTCAACGTCGTCATGGATGGTCAGTCGAATTCAACAGGTTATCATAGAGGTCATTAGAAAAATTAATAAGATAGGAATTTTTACAATACAAGGAGGAAACTTAGATGTTTGCGGTGATTCTTATGCCTACAAATTAATTCTATTTTTAATAAATAAATAATAAAAATAAAATCTTTAAAACTGATTATTGTATTAATAAAAATTATTACATGTGTCATTCGTTCAAAAAATTAAACAAAAAGATGACAAAAAAGGGGGTAAAAGGTTCCCACATTACACCCTTTTTTTTATCTCTTTTGCCATTTGATAACCATTACGAGTTATTGAGTTTATTAAGATTTAATATCAAATCTTATTTGTAAGCAAATTATATTAAGCAATGAATACAATTTAAAACTAATTAAAAGAAACTGAAGGGTGTAAATTGCTGTAATATTTAATACAAAATGGATATTAAAATAAAAAAAATAAAATAAATTTTAATGTAAACCTATGATGTATTTTGTTTTTAATTTTGTAATTTATTTTAAAAAATGAATATTTTTATATATTTTTTAAAATTAAATAAATTTTCTTTCCAAATAAATGTTGTTTTATTTTGTTGAAAAGGTATAAAATTCAGAATTTTAGCATTATTTTAATTACATCGTATTTAAAAATAACTTCTACACCTTAAAATATCTCATTGTACGTACTATAAATATTTCTAACTGATAAATTATCAGCTAATAATCATAAATTATGGTCTAAATAAAGAATAATTATTTAATTTTAACATTTCTCCTTGTTTTCTATGATTACTTTCATGCGAAGAATAATAATAGTAAAACGGACACTAAAATAATAATAAATAAATTATTTAAAAAACATTTGTGAAATTTTATTTAATATTAATGTAAATTAATCATAATAAAATTATTAAATCTACTATTAATATAGTGTAATCTCAATTTATAACTACACATAGTCAAACCTCCCTTCTAAGAAGCCATTTTTTTCAGGAACTTATTATTTTTTTATGTGTTACTACCCTTTAGTATATACTGTATAACCCAGAGTAAATATTAATTATTTATTGGAAAATAAATTGGCTCAAATAATTTAAATATTGATACAAAAGGAGGCTCTGATATTAGGTTAAAAAAAAACATCATTACCTATTTATATTTTAAAAGCTGTAAGTTATATAATATGGATAGGGCCAAATTTGCATATAAGCTAAACAAAATGTAGTTTAGGGCCTTGTATTTTTATATGTGGAGGATAAGGACTTGTATGTTTTAACAGAGACACAACAAATCTAAGTCCAACCATGATTTAATTATTTGTTTATAAGAAACAGGTTTATTTTATTTAATTTGCTTGATAATTTGATAAAATATAACATATAATATAATAAACCTATTTTGTTATCATCATTTTATTTACTTTCTTTATATAAAAAAATATTATATATTGGCTTTACATGATCTTCTACCATCAACATATACGAATTATTTAAATATTTTAACATAAAAATTTTAAATTTAATAGTAGAATTTAGGAATTATGTTCATCTTTATTTTCTACAGGGGCATGGTACTGAGTAAGGAGTTCATTCCTCCTTACTCAACACTAAATGATTACATTGTGGATGAAGATTTCATCACGAAGTCTGCAAATATTTTGCAGACTTCTGGATAAATAAATATTTGAAAACGTTTTAAAACATTTCACAGAAGATAAGAGATGAGACCTTGTAGACTTGACTCTTTCTTATCCATCATTGTCACCTCTAAAGAAAAGACAAGGCCATTTTTGTCTTTGTTTCTATGATTGTTTGCATGTTCAACGTATTTTTTACCTTCAAAGAATTATCATTTTTAATTCCTAAATAATAAATAAAATAAAATTTCCATTAATAAAAAAAATTTATTAAACTTATTTTTATATACTGTATATAATTTTTACATGAATTACATTTCAAATTCCTTTTCTTGTCCTAATTTTATAACAGTTATTTGACAATTCGAAGAAAATGCAAAGTTGTAAGACTAGAAATCCAGATAGATTCAGGAAATAGAAAAATACACACACCCATTTTAAATAGTAAAAACAACCTAATTTCTATCCTTTATTTCTATTAAATCTTCAGCTTTCGACTGAGGTTGTTTTTTTCCTCCATTAAATGTTTTCAGTAGCGGGATTGGTCGAATTTTAAAGCACGTGACTACAATAGATTAATAAAAGAAATCTCCGAAGATCATAAGAGTTAAGTACTTTCTTCACTGGAAACATAACAAATGGAAAAAAATTCAGATAAAGAAAATCCCGAAAAAAAGAAGAAAATCGATAAGGAAGATGAAAGTAATGACAAGAATCAAGATCACACTGCTAATTGTTTAAGCACTGTTAATGTTAATTATTCGACAAAAAACGAGTAAGTTTACACCCTTTTAATTAATATTTTATCGATTAATTTAATTTATAAATAATATAATATATTAACTAATTATATTATCAAGAAATGTATTTAAATTAGAAATCAGGAGCATTTTTTTACATTAATTTATTGATAATTCATTAGATTGTATCAATATTATATTTTCACACATTCATTAACTTAAGAATAAGGCCTTCTAAGCCTTCTATATATCATAAAATATCTCATATTTTACCATATTTACGGTACTTAAAAAACAATAAATATTCACAATAGACAGTTTAGACTATATTTAACAGTATAATAATAATAATAATAATTAATTTTGTTATGTTTTAAAATATTTTATACATTATATTAAATAATTTTTACTTTTTGTTTTTATTAAATTTTTCCCTGAATTCCTTCTCTGTGTCATGTTCCAGTTTCTTCGCTACATGAAGCGTATTATGACATAGGAATTATAGTAAATGACATCAGCAATTAGTAACACAATATCAAGAGGTGGAAATAAATATAAATGGTTTAATATTAAGTAATAATTAATGGACAATTCTTTGAAAATTAAAATACTAAAAAAACTGAAGAATTTTTTACATNATAAAGAAAAATAGAATTATTGCAAAATATTCTTTAAATATTTAGTGTAATTTTTACCACTTCCTTTAATAGAAACTTTCATAATGATTCTTACGACAGTCGACTACGAAAAAACAAAAACACCCATTTCCTTCGTTTTAGGGTTGGTTTGGCATTGAGCCAGTCCCACCTGTTGCTCAGGTATGAACAGCAACAGGTAGAAATAACGTCATAAGCAGAGAGGCAACCATCATTGTCTGTCCTTCTCTGGAAAGTGAAAGCTTACTTGTGTTTATAATTTACACAACGAATCGATGGATAACAGGTAATTACATTTATTACCTTTACTTTTGAATATTTTGTTTCTTTATACATCTATTAATTAAGTAATACTATAGACGTGTAACTAAACTTATATACTGTATTTAATTAATAGAGACTTGTAATACTATTTTATAAAGCAAATCGATCAAATTTTACTTTAAAATTACTTTTATAATGCTTAATAAATCTAGTAAAGTAGAGGTAATTTTAATTTAACTTATTATTATTATAGAATATCTTTATGTAGTAGAAAATTACTTAATTATATTTTTTCTTTTAGATTTCGAAAATACTATAAAATCAGTAGTTAATTTTATTACGGAAGGAAATGTCCATGTAACAATTTAAATTTCGTCAGAATGACATTAAAATATTGTACTGTACGTAGAGAAGGTTACAAACTTTGAAACGACCCAATAATACCTATTGTTTTGGATTACAATAACTATTATACTTTTCTATGTCATAATGTAGATAGTTTCTAGCCTATCATTAAGAATTATGCCTAATTATAAACTGCCTAAATTCTAATACATTACACATTTGATCAAGTTAATATGTTGAGTTTATGCTTCTAGAGAGAAATTCGGTGTGCATTATCTAGAATACACTTACAAGTTAGTGAAATAGTTCAAGTTATATGTTGATCCCTTCCTGGTTATAAATGTTAAAACATGAATAAGGGTTCATTAACCTTGTTAGTGAAGTATTACTGTCAATTCTGCATTTCCTGATCTAATTACTATTAAATAACACTAATCATTCTTTTTAAAAATATTGATAGCTTCTCTTGGAAACAGGCTACTGACATTGCGTGAAATGAATGTTGCGCTTGCTAAAATATTTAAAAGTATAAAGTTTAACAAGTCTGTAGACGATATTTTAGTTTAATTGACTAAAATAATTCATTTTACGTTAATTAAAATAGACTTTTAGTCCATTTTAATTAGGCTATTGCTACAATTAAATAGCAACTGTATGAAATGATAATCATGAAATGATTTAAAATCATTTTAAGATTAAAAAGAATTTATTAACATTTTAATAAATTGTTATTGTTTGACAGTATTTGTTATATTTTACTTGGTTTTTTAACTTTTAAACTGCTACCACTGTTGTCCAAAAATTCATGCTCAACACTAACATGATCATATTTATTTTGCTTAAATGGAAACAAAGCCATGAATTTGAGATTGTTTTATGTCAGTGAAATTAAATCATTAGGTAATCATATAAACCATATGTCAAGTTTGTATGTTTAAAAATCTGTATATAAAAAAAATTAAAATAATAATAATAATAATAATAATAAAGAAGCATTGGTACCCTTTTATTAGCTTCAACACCAAACTGTGATTCCTCCAAGAAAAGTTTGAATGTTTTAATCTAAATAGGAAAATAAATTATTCATTTTGATTGATTAGTATGTACAGTACTTGGTTTCTGGTTAATCTTAGCATATTCACAGGAAAAAAACCATGCTTTTTTTTTGAATCAATATTATCTCAACACCATAATAATTAAAACATGTTAGTATTGAGAATTTTGAAGAATTACATATCAATGCCAAATGATTGCTAGATTACATTGGGCTATAACAATGCTACTATTTAATAATTAAATGTCAAGTAATTTTGTCTGGAGGTAGGCAGGCATCAGGTGCCATCTCTTGATAAATTTAATAATTGTAATTAAATTAGTATTTAATAATTAATTTAGAAGGTTCTGGAAGAAAAGATTTGGCCTATAGCAGGACTCAAACCTGCAACTCACTTGCTATGTAGGATGCATTACCAATTAAGTTACCTGGACCTCCATCCAATCTGGTTGCAGGTTCAAGTGTTGTGCTCCAGGCCAATTCTTTTCTTCTAGAATCTTCTAAATTAATTATCAAATATATCAAGAGATGGCACCTAACACCTACCTCTAGGTCAAATTACTTGACATTTATTAAATAGTATCATTAATGCCAAATGATTGTCAGATTATATCAGGCTATAATAATCTAAAAATTGGTTTAGTGGAGGTTTATATTTGAATTACATACCATTTTAATAATTGTAATTTTAAAGTGATGATGATTTCCCAATAATTCCTAATAAATGATTATAATAACAAACAAATGTTTTCAACTCAGTTGGCAGTCATCTTCAAGTTCTTGAATTTCTAAAATAAAACAATATTTCAAATATGTAAAAAAATTTTTTTAAATTAGAATACAAATATTTTCCATCACAGAAACCTCCAGTGATATTGAAGGTCCTATCCAATCAGATTTCTATCCTAATTTAAGAAGCCAACTGAATTAAATGTATTACATAAATCTAAATTTTGGATTAAGTTAAAAGTTACTTAGATGTTTATTTTCAAAACCTCAAGATTGTATTTTCATTATTTACACCAGTGTTTTTCAACCTTCTTGAATACGCGACCCCTTTACAAGTGAAAAAATTCTGGCGACCCCCAGGGCCATATTAAAACTATGTCAGTGATTTTAAAAACTACTTATTTAATTTTCTTTCTGTAGAGACTTAAATATCGATCGGAAAACCAATTGTACTTTAAAAGAAACAGGCATAGCCTTCTCACTGAAATTGCAGTTTTTTTTTTATTGTAGTGTAGGACCTACAAACTACTTGTCTTTTTCTTATACCCGCGACCCCCCGTGTAAGGCTTTGCGACCCCCCTAGGGGTCGCGACCCACAGGTTGAAAAACACTGATTTACACCAAAAGCTGTTGTTAAAAAGACTTTGAAAACTTATTATGGTGTAGTTTTTAACATACTTAAATACCTTTTATCTATTATTCAAAGCCAAATTGTATAGTTTATTGCATTATTGAATGTTTAATAATATGTTAGTGTTGAGACTTTCATGCAGCACTGATTGTTTTTGCATTTTTACTTATAAGACCTATTTTCCTATACTGTCCAAATATTACTTAAGGTTCCTTGATTAGTATAAGGAAAGATGCTGTAAGAAATTTTTCTGTTTTCATTAAATTTGAAATCAGCATTTTTAAAAGTTAAATGTTCGACTATTGAAACATTGTCCAAAATATGCTACATTTTTCAGCCTTAATATAAATAGTTTGTTATCCCTGCTGAATATTACTCTATAATTACTAACAGTTCAAATTGTACAATCTCTTAAAAAATAAAAATTACAATTATAACATCTAGTCAAATGACCAATTTAAATCTCAGTGTTAAAAATTCAATTAATATTAAAGATATACAAATAAAAGTATATGAATGTAAGAGATAACAAAACATTATTGAATGCATGGAAATTTTTTATTAAATTTTCAAGACAATCATTTTTAAATTGGTCTTTTTTACCTAGTTATTAATATTATAAATTTAATTTTTGTTTCAGATAATTGATTAAGAAGTTAAACTACCAACAAAGCAAAGACTTTCAAAGCATTATTGTTTATAATAATAAAATAAAGGACATCATTTGATAGCTATGATTATTTACATAATAAAAACATGAAGCTTGTATGTAACAGCATATAATAAAAGTACTTAATACATAACTTTTGTTTACAGATTTTTTTTTCATCTGCATTCTTATTCAATGATACCATTAAACTGAAGTTTTAATTTTTATTTCAAATATTTAAAGTTCCAATGACTTAAAATCTCAATCACCTTGATCAGAAATTATAAACATTAGAAATTAAATATAAAATATAAATTTTAATTCAAGAAAGATATATCTTTCTTGAATTAAAATAGAAAGTTAAATTGTTGTCTCAGCTAAGGAGAGTCCTCTCAGTAAAAAAGATAGTAACAATAGATATTGTACTGATACATCATTATTCATCATCATTCAACTAACCTGTATTCAATAAAATACTAACTTCTTTTGATTAATAATAATAACATTCAGAAATAATTTAGAAAAATTATTTAGATAAAATTTCTATTCTATGAATATCATTCTTTTGACCATTCAAATTTACCAATTACAAATAATTCAATTATCTAATCAATATGTTTTTTATTTTCATTAGGAATGTTACATAAATTATATTGTTTCTCTTAGAGAAAAGAATTAAACCAAAACAATAAATAAATATTGAATTATGCTGTAACTTTTTATCAATTCTAAATCTATTGAAACAGACTGAATTGCACTCACTACAGGAACTAATTGAAAACTCACTGCAATCAACTGTTTCGATGGCACTGCACATTGTACAGTAAATCATCAAAAATTCTGACTAATTGGGACCAAAACCCATCCAGACTTTCAAATATACAAATAAATTAACATTTTAAGTACTATAAACTCTAAATATACTGTAATTCAAGTTTGTGTTGTAAGTTCAAGCCATTATTTCACAAGGAATATTGGAGTACTTATAAAGGTTTAAAATATAATTTACAGAATCATCACATTTAGTCAAAAAAAAAACATTAAACCCCANAGACAAGGCCATTTTTGTCTTTGTTTCTATGATTGTTTGCATGTTCAACGTATTTTTTACCTTCAAAGAATTATCATTTTTAATTCCTAAATAATAAATAAAATAAAATTTCCATTAATAAAAAAAATTTATTAAACTTATTTTTATATACTGTATATAATTTTTACATGAATTACATTTCAAATTCCTTTTCTTGTCCTAATTTTATAACAGTTATTTGACAATTCGAAGAAAATGCAAAGTTGTAAGACTAGAAATCCAGATAGATTCAGGAAATAGAAAAATACACACACCCATTTTAAATAGTAAAAACAACCTAATTTCTATCCTTTATTTCTATTAAATCTTCAGCTTTCGACTGAGGTTGTTTTTTTCCTCCATTAAATGTTTTCAGTAGCGGGATTGGTCGAATTTTAAAGCACGTGACTACAATAGATTAATAAAAGAAATCTCCGAAGATCATAAGAGTTAAGTACTTTCTTCACTGGAAACATAACAAATGGAAAAAAATTCAGATAAAGAAAATCCCGAAAAAAAGAAGAAAATCGATAAGGAAGATGAAAGTAATGACAAGAATCAAGATCACACTGCTAATTGTTTAAGCACTGTTAATGTTAATTATTCGACAAAAAACGAGTAAGTTTACACCCTTTTAATTAATATTTTATCGATTAATTTAATTTATAAATAATATAATATATTAACTAATTATATTATCAAGAAATGTATTTAAATTAGAAATCAGGAGCATTTTTTTACATTAATTTATTGATAATTCATTAGATTGTATCAATATTATATTTTCACACATTCATTAACTTAAGAATAAGGCCTTCTAAGCCTTCTATATATCATAAAATATCTCATATTTTACCATATTTACGGTACTTAAAAAACAATAAATATTCACAATAGACAGTTTAGACTATATTTAACAGTATAATAATAATAATAATATCTAAAATTTATTTATTTAATTGTATATATTAAACAGTACTTAAATTGAAAACATTTTAAAAAGGAATGGATGAAAATTTGTGTTGTTGACACGAGTAAACTTCAAGGACGAAAGACTTGTTTAGGAGGCCCACAAATAGGGAAAGTTGGAAGAAAGTTACGAAATTAATGGATGAAAATGCTTTAGATTTCCTTCAAAAAATCAAATAACATTATGTAATCATTTATGTAAACAATATTTAATTTAATTTATAATACTATAACGTATATATTTTAAAAATAATGTCGAGGGCATTAATTAAAATATAATACAATATGTGAAATAGTAAAGAAGAAAAGATTATTTAATCATATTAAATAATAATAATAATAATTAATTTTGTTATGTTTTAAAATATTTTATACATTATATTAAATAATTTTTACTTTTTGTTTTTATTAAATTTTTCCCTGAATTCCTTCTCTGTGTCATGTTCCAGTTTCTTCGCTACATGAAGCGTATTATGACATAGGAATTATAGTAAATGACATCAGCAATTAGTAACACAATATCAAGAGGTGGAAATAAATATAAATGGTTTAATATTAAGTAATAATTAATGGACAATTCTTTGAAAATTAAAATACTAAAAAAACTGAAGAATTTTTTACATTATTTAAGCCGATAGATTTCCTATTATTAATTATAATTAACTTAATACCTATTTAACTAATCTAAATAATTGCGATAGATAAAAATAATAAGCTTTTATTAAATCAAAGATCGTCAGAATAATTTAATAATTAGCGAGGTTGCGGCCGAAGTTTTCATCTGTAAAACGTGAATGTCGAACGTCGAGAGCCGCTTACAAGATAGCGGCGCTCGACGTTCGACGTTCACGTTTTAAAGATGAAAACTTCGGCCGCAACCTCGCGACTTAAGGTCCTTCCAGAGTTTTTACGGAGTCGGAGGTAAAGCGGGCCCTTTCGCTCCTTAGCGGCTCCCTTCTAGTTTATTTTTCGATTTTTTTGTAAAATTAGGCAGTACTGTGGGCCCCTAACTTTTCTCCGGGCCCTCTGTTTCTATTAATGGCCGTTTGTTGAGCGATTTGACATGTGTTACAATGATTAAAACAGTGTAAAAGCTTAATTATTTCGAAATTAATATAGAATTTAATTAATTAATGTGGATAAATTCCATAAAATGTTTTCCTGTTTTAATTAAAATCTAATTATTAATTTCTATTTCTTATTTGTACTAATATTTGTACGAAGAAATAAGAAATGAATTTAATAATAATAATATAATGAAAATTATTCAAGAATTGTTTAATCTCGAATATATTAATTTAACTGATCTCAAAATTCTCATTCTTAACGTAGTTAATAACATTAAAGGATGCACAAGGCTACACCAAGGGTCTTCAAGAGCTTGAAGGTAGAGCAGGCCTCTTTTGCCAATTTTTCTTTTAACAAATGAATAAGTTATTATTAAAAGTACTTTTAAAGCTTTTATTTTATTATTATTATTTTTTAAGTAAAAATAACATTAATTTAAAGGAATAGGAACCGATAAGGACACTAAGTTTTCTCGGCGTCCAGGCAAATTGAATTAGGGGGCTCCACGTATAGTTTAGGGCTTCTCTTGGTGAAGATCCCAGGTAATTGCACTCTTTTCCCATAGGATAGCGCGTTACTGTTTTGAAGATTAAAAGAATAATAGTTTGTTTATTAAAACATATCAGATTTGTAATTATATGCTATTAAAATCTCCGCTAATAATCTATTGATCGAGTTGGAAGCCATTTTCATAAAACATTTTCTGTAGGATTATTATGGTGTCAAGGTCGTTCTAATGTTTTGCTTCTAGCTATGTTTGACCTTATTTACTTTCATATTGCAAAGATAACACTATGCAGAAAGCTTTTTTTTTTATATTTAAAAAATCATACACGCAATATGATATATGCATTTTAATTTAAAAAACAGTTTTACTCTAGGCATTTCTTCTATTTTTTACATAAAATTTAATGCCAAACATATTTAAATATTTAACTCTTAAAATCTTCTTTAATAGATAATATATAGTGTATATATAGACCTAAACATATAACAATTTTTTAATTAAATTGATAAAGTTCAACAGTCTTTATGCATAATCGAAATTACCATAAAAATACTTTTTATTTCAAAGAAATTTTTATTTCAAAACTCAGCCGCTAGGGTAAGTTTGGCGCTGCTGTTTCTTTAAAGTTAATTGCTACTTACGTTTTCTAATGAATTTCGAAGGTAAGAAAGAAAGGACGATGTGAAATGTAGAATTGACGATGACATTAAAGATACTCGTATATGCCCTTTATTTCCATGCTCTAAAAACTGCATTCGCTCTTATAAGAATGCCAGATTCAGTCAATTCAACAAAGTTCCTTATAGTTTGATAAGCTTGAATATTCTTATTTATTTTTCTGGGGGCTTTCTTCGTTTTGTGGGCACTAAGAGGGCATTTTTCTCTGCCTATCGTACGTTCGACCAGATCTACAATTGGGCGCTGGTGATGAAAACAATCAATTAAACCTTTATTAATTGTACTTTCGTACCATGCCCAGTTCAGCATGGCACTCCTGGTGATGAGGGACGTACCATCGTGAAAATTCCTAGGGTTACTCTCCCGTATTGATTCTGGGTCGTCAGATCGCTATTCTGACGACTTAACAACCGCCCTGACCATCCAATATTAGTCTAATGGAAGAAAGAGAAAGGATTTCTAGTTGGATTTAGTGCCATATATACAATTTCCAATATGTCTCCGTGGTCTAAAAATAAATGATATTGAATAGAGGTGATCGAAATTACAGCTCTTTAGAGATGACTTTCGAGTATATTATTGTTCTATAAAAGTTTACTGCATTCTTAAACTTGATTTTTATGCTGACTGATTGTTATAAAACATCTTTCTTCTGTTATTGATCATTACATTTAAATACAGTATTTTATTGTCATTTTTTTATTTTTAGGAAAGAAGATGAAGATAAAGGTAATCGTCTTCAAATGATAACCGAAATCATCTCATTAATAATCATGTTTATAGGATTTTCATTAGCTATGATCACACCTTGGTTTTTATTGGCCATCTTCACCTTTCCGGGACCATACACGCCATATTTTAAGACTGCAATTTGGACGTGTTGTTTACTCTCTTTGATATGCATCATTATAGGCTCTTTTCTAGGAAATGTTGTTTGGCATTACGATGAATCAAAAACAAAATGGCGTTTCTTCTTTCATTGTGGATCCAGTAAGACTAGACATCATTGGGGTGATAGTTTTTTTAAACTGAGAAAGAATGACGATATCATTGTGGAATATTTATAAATAATCATGTGTTAATATCGAATTTCTTAAATATATGTACAAATATTTCAATAAAAACATCCATATTAATTGTATTATTAATCGTCGTCTCTTTAATAATATGATTATAAGGTGATTTCAAAAAATCCGAATAAGTCAGGCTACGTCCTTCACATTGTTGGCCTTAAAGGGGGTTTAAAACAAGGCCATCTTAGTACCCACAAGGCAGAGAAAGCTTGTGTGGCTCGAATTCCTCATACAGATGTCATATAATTTAACAAATGCTAGTTTTTTTTTTCTATTTTGTAATAATATTTGTATATTATAACACACCGAACCAGAAGTAAACGCAAATCCTTTACAACAATTTGAAGGACAGGCAGATGAGGCACTGGATGAACAACCAGGAACTTTAGCAACAAGGCAACAAGAGCTTAAGGATAAAATCGTGGCTCACCGTGCAGTNATAAATAAATCACACAATTGAAAATAATAATAATTTATCCAGTAAAATACATAATATACACTATATATTCTATGACTTTATAATGTAAAAATGTTAATTTACGTATATATTCTTTGGCCTTGTTCCTCAAGCATGATTTTAACACGAATTTATGCAGAAATATTGCCAAAATCTTGTTTCGTATGACTAATACATCAACCTTTCACAATATGAAACCCGAAAATAGAACTAGTATAAACACAGTTCACTAGGACATATCTTCTAGCTTTAATGAATAATTCAAATTCTATAGTTTAAGGATACAGTGGACCCCCCTATAACACTGTTGATAATTCTGTTTTATATGAATTCCATGTTGTACGAGTCACTTAGATTTTACAAATACGTGAGCCGTTCACAGCACGTATTTGTAAAATCTAAGTGACTCGTACAACATGGAATTCTTATAAAACGGAATTATCAACAGTGTTATAGGGGGTCGACTGTATTTAATAATATCTGAAAGAAATGTAATACATTTAAATATGACAGTAATTCTCATCTAAAGCCATAAATTTATTGTCAAATCTTCACTAAATCCAATTACACCTGTCTAAAATGGAACGGTTGATTCCGGTTTATACAGGTTTTACTGTATTATTCATTCATTACGTTAAAATAATCTAAATATTTTAATATTTTTTAATGTATTAAATAACGCGAAGGACGTCTTTTGTCTGTCATTCTAACGTCAAACTTGTTTTCCTTTAGGTAGACATAATTCATTAAAGGTTGAAAGGTGGAATAACACCACAAAATGATGACCTTCCCTAGGACTTCGAAACGTTACTTTGACTTGGGAGTTGTTTCTTGTTCGGTAGGTGGATTGTTTTTTAGCATTGGAGTCATACTAGTTGTCATTGGATCATCGCCACAAGAACCAGAAGCTTTGTGGATCGCTGGAATTGTTCTTCTATTATTTGGAGGAATGTTGTTTTTTTTGGGAATCGGTTCGATTGGTTTGTATTTGGCTATGGAAGACAAAAGGCGGAAGACCGAAACTCGTAATGCAGATCGGCAATATGCAGCTAGTTTGAAAGGCTCCAGTGAGTTAATTATAGCGGAAAAACCTTAGAAAAATGTACTTTCAAGCATGGTTAAACGCTTATGGCTTATAAAGCTATCTATACAATAATAAGAATAGCATGCCAGAAGTTCGCTCGAATATATAAACTTCTGGTTAAATCGATGTAACCATTAAGATAAATGCATTACTTAAAATGAAATTGCACCTGTTATTGACCTTAAAATTTAATTCCGATAACGTTGCAGACATTTATGGATATATTTAATTGTTTATAATAATTTTTTAAATTTACTGTTTTATTTTATTTTTTTTTTTTAAATAAATAATAGTATACGAATATATAATTGTTGTGTAAAATTTACATATGTTTTCTTATATATGTGCTTATAATATTAGTTTAATCGTTATTACATATTGAAGTATTACCAATGTAACTGTATTGCTGTTAATTAAATTTTACTATAATAATGTTAATTTTCGAATTTATATTTAAATGGTTTATGAAATTTTAAATTATTCAATAAATTAATACTGATAAATGACACTTATCTCACTAAAAAGACTGTTTAAAAACTAGATTCTACTACTTGGACAATGGTTCTAAACCGGTCTGCCATGAAAGAGGTGCCACAAAATTTTATGTGTACTTTTTTAAACATTATTTGTACATTTTCTATGTAGAAAAATGCAGGTTTTTTTATAAGTTATAAGGACTTTTTGATATTACGCAGTCTCTCGTCAGTATGCCATCAAAAATTGTGCACCACTAACTGAAAAATATTGAAAATTACTCAGTTAATTCACTATTATTTTTTACTCTTTCTGCCTACGGGCACTAAAAAAGCATTTTTCAGGCCCATCGTTGATTCGGGCAGGCCCACAATTAAGTTGGGTGGCGAGGAAAAAGGGCTCTCATCACACGACTTAATTTTTAAATATATTCTTGTTTTTAGAATTTTAAATTTTCATTTTAAATGAGAATATTCACTTGTATGTGTACAGTAAAAATATATATAATTTTTGTTTTTTCAATTTTTAAAGTATGTATTCGTATGAGGGGAAGCATATCAAATTGATACTGATATGAAACAGTGTGAGACAGTTAAATAAAAATTAAAGCGGAAGAATCAACTTCCGTCTCAATCTCTAGTTATTTCCATTTTAACTTTTTAATAATTTTTATTTTTTTTCGTGTCAACGTCGTCATGGATGGTCAGTCGAATTCAACAGGTTATCATAGAGGTCATTAGAAAAATTAATAAGATAGGAATTTTTACAATACAAGGAGGAAACTTAGATGTTTGCGGTGATTCTTATGCCTACAAATTAATTCTATTTTTAATAAATAAATAATAAAAATAAAATCTTTAAAACTGATTATTGTATTAATAAAAATTATTACATGTGTCATTCGTTCAAAAAATTAAACAAAAAGATGACAAAAAAGGGGGTAAAAGGTTCCCNAGCAAGATACTGAACTTATTTAGCTTGTTGAAACGTGATATAATCCAACAGCAAGTTGTTTATATTTATTCCTAGTATCCCAGATAATATGTTGAAACATGCTCAAGATAACATGCTCAACTTCACCAGTAATATTACTCACTATCAACTTTTAACCTGTTTCTACACGATCATGCGACCTTCCTCCTAACGCTAAAACTACTTAACTCACCCCTCCCTTCCACTACTCTCTTCAACCATTAACATTTTTTTTTATTGCCAAGTCCAGCTATAATTGATAGAATTAATGTGAGAAATCTTCGTTTTAAGGTCATTAAAAAAAAGAAAACTAAATTTTAAGTTAACTAGGAATTTTACGCTAAATACAAACAAAACAATATTCTATAATTATAATTATAGAATATTGAACAACGTTTCCATTTACTTCAGGCATCTATCAAACTATAAAACCCAGTAACGTTATTCCTCTCCATCGGGATTGATCTCAATCTCAATGGAGAGGATGGAGAGGAATAACGTTACTGGGTTGGAAATGAATGATGAATGAATGCAAACTATTATAGTTTTATTGATATGTATAAATGTTTTAATTATATATGTGACAAAAAATAATAATAATAAATTTAACAATGAAATTATGCTTAAAACAAAGAAAATATAGAAATTTTATAATGTTTGAGAAGAATGCAAACAAATTTTATATAATTAAAAACAATTGTAAAAAAGGTCAATTTGCTTTTGATGATTTGTTGACAGAAAATTAATCTTCATTAATAAATATAAATTATTCATTTATTTCAACGTTATTATAATGAATTCAATCGTATTTAAATATATTACGATCACGTTTAATATTGCCAGATTAAAACTATTCGCAGAATTATGTCTTCTTTATATTAAATATTTTATAGCCTCATATGTTTTATATTATTTTATATTTTATATTTTATATAAAATAATATAAAATATATGAGATTATATAAATAACAATAACAAAATTAGACAGAAGTCATATAATTTAATAACAATTTACAGTCTTGATACGATTAGAATAATTTAAAAATAAATAGAAAATAAATTTTGCAATAAATATATTTATTAATTTCGTAATAAATAAATTTCGTTTTTAAATATTCATAAATGAGTTTAGGTATTTATTATCTGCAGAGTTTAATCAGAAGTAGAAAGAAGATTTTTTACTAATTACAATATCATTCAAACCTTGACATCAAAAATTAATTAGTAGAGCATTACAATATATCCTGTATATCTCCTCCTATATCCGTTATTGGTCATTCAATCTCTATTTTTTACTAATTTTATTCAGTTTAACAAAATATTAACGCTGGTAAGTGTCATTTTCTCTATTCCACTTCTTATAAAACTCTATACAGATAATTATTAAGTATATTCAGTTTGTTAGATGAATAAATACAGCATCAATTAGGATTTATCTATAAGATCTTAATTTTCTCTTTAAGAGAAAATGATAATGTTATTTAAATTATTTATACAATTTAAAATGTAATTTAATTATTAAAATAAGCATTTTTTTATTATAAAATTTTAAATTTAACAAAAAATGACTGTAAAAGTACACAGAGTACAGTTATCTGTCATGTCATCTCTTAAAGATCAAAATGTGAGATACATAATTAATTTTCAGGTATTTTAAATATTTAAAATGTGTTTTATGTTTATAAATAATGTAGAATTTTAATTAAAATATATTATTTTCAAGATTTAATTTAGATATAAACAAAATAAGTTCATCAATTTATTACAGCGATGAGTTATGAATGACACTTGTATGTGTGACGTTCATAAATTTTAGACTTTAGAAGCATTTTATAAGTGAAATTTATGAAAAATTTATTAAAAATTTAAACTTATATAAATCAAATTATTATTATTACAGACTGAAAGCTTACGAGTAAATTCATAATGTCGGTGGAAGACGTTTTTATTTTTACCATAATCGGGGCATTTCTCTTTGGTGTTATGAGTTTAATTTTCTGGGCTTGCTGTTATAGAAAAACTCGAAATTCTAGAAACATCCTTTCTGAAAAATTCGGATCGAAATTTCAGTTCGATTCTCCTACACAAGAATCCGTCAACCAATTCGAAATCGTTTCTCAAAGCAATAAGATTGATGATATGGATAATAAATCGATACCAAACGATCAATCCAGGCCCGTGAGTTGCTGTTCGACTGATGCTTTGATATTAAATAACTACGGAGATCCAAAAAATCCTTTGATGTCACTCTCATCCTTTGTTTTAGCATCTTTAGCCACAACAGCGACTTCAGCAATGATGATGTTCATGGCACAGAAGAATGATGAAAACAACATGCAGAATAATCCTAAATTTCCAATTCGAGAAAATTCCACAGCATTTTTAGAACAGAATCATTCAGTTTTTGTTGTATAATTTTATATTCTTTCAATTTAAATTATTGTTTTTTTTTATATTATTTTATATATTATATAAAACATAATTTACAATGGAAATGTATGAAACTTAGCACCATGTTGTAATCTTAAAAGACCAAAACTTCTTAGAAAAGTGGTGAATTATTCCAAATTCTTTTGCAGAATACAATTAGAAGAATAATTCAATAATCAATTCACCCAATTATTTATTATTTATTAACATTTTTGGTTATTCTATGACCATCTTCAGCTCTCAAAGCATATGTTGTATATCTTTAAACTTTGTTTACGTGGCAATGTTATATCAATTTTGAGCACATTATCTTTGTGAATGTTAAATTTATATTATATTTATATTATATTTGATAAATAATTTATTTATTTTGATTATAATATTACGCTTTAATCAATAATTAATGTTAAAAATGATGTATTTGAATGTAATGTTGTACAGTTTTCGATGTTATAAACGTATGAAATTTTTTTACTCTGTATTAAATGTATGTAATAAAATTTTTAGAAACATAAAAAAATATTCAATTTAGTAGTAATTTTAGTGTATTTTTTAAATAATAATTTTGGAAATTCCGCCTTTTCCCTGACCTATATGCGGATACAACAGGACTAACTATAATTGGAACAACCTCCTGGTACTGGAAGCTATAAAACAGCTGCTAATTTCCGATAGCCATGTTATAATATGCATAATATTCATTAAATGATTATTCATTAACATATACAATCAAAACAGATTATATTCACCAGGGAATAGTGTAATGAATCTCACTTTAAAAAAATAAATTAAAAAAAACCAATTAGAATTATATCACGTTGTTTATGAAAACACCTCACAAACAATAAACAGTAGCTTTAAATCTTTAAATATTAATGTTTTAGTTGCTAAGGTAGAAAAATCAATAGGTTAAACCATTTTAAAACTGCCCTACAAAATGTTTTTATATAAATAATATATATATAAATTACATTTGAAAATATTAAAACAATAATTTTAGTCAATGTCTGGAGCTTAATATATTAAGTAGAATTAGTATTAGAATTAAGAAATTTCTTTGTGAAATTATTAAAATGCTGAGAAAATTGATATAAAATTTTATTTTATTATATATAAACTATTATTGATTATTAAATCAGAGAGTAACTTACAAGTCAAGGGATGCCTGGAATACATAAAAACGTGATTGTCCCCGTATTGAGATCCCAAAAAATGGACCAAAAATAAATGTTTCTTTCTTAATGTAGCCTTAAAAATGTAATCAAATAAGTTTTTTGTTATTTAAATAGTATTTTTCCTAGATATTTTTGTATTTAAACACATTAATTACTGAAGTTCGGGTCGAATAACTCAATTGGGTCACACGGTGCGATAAGAGCTGACAGGATTATAATCTTGTAAAATATACCATTATACTCATTTAAATAAACAACTAATGTAATATTAAAGTTTAGTTTTTTTACTAGAAATAGGAACTTTCTAATAATTTATGCAAGGTACATAAGTTTCTGACAGTTTTATATCTACTTCTTGACATTTCGAAATTTATTAAATTAAATATGAGCTCTAGAAAACATAAGTTTCTCCACATTTATATGTTAAAAATTCATTAAATATTTATGAATTACCTAAATTAATATTTAAATATTATTCTAGATGTAAAAACGAATGAAGTTTTAAGCAATTTCTGTTCAAGTAGTTCGTAATTGGATACTTTATATGAACATATTTTAGTAATGTCAAAGTATTGATAGGTCGGGATCGCCTGTATATCATCTGTCATCATAATATAGGCATATATTAATATCTAAGTGATATATTTTGTTCAATTTATAGAATTTAGAACAGAAACTTATACAGTAGAACTACCACTTCCCACTAACAGTGGACCCCAATCTTAAATTTTTGAACATTTAACATGAATTTTTAAGATAATAAACTAGAGGAAATTTCAATTTGTAATTCTTAAGTTAAAATTATCAGTTTTTATCTGGGAAAATTTTTATTTATAGTATTGAACATGTGGATAAATTGTTGATAAATAAAAATGTCTGTTGCTTAGCAACGAGAATAGATAATTCTAATTCTATAACGAGTGAAAGCTTTGTAAAAAAAGGCCATTGAACTGATGCATAAAAGTCTTTAGATATTTAAAATATATTTAATATTTCTTTATAAATTTGAAAATATACATAATGGACCTACAATATTAATGTATATTTCTGTAGAGATTTTTTTCATAGAAGAATCTCGAGCATTTGTTTTAATTCTCACGCCTCAAGGTTGTATTTTTGCACGATTTTNATTTTGTTGAAAAGGTATAAAATTCAGAATTTTAGCATTATTT